CAATTTGTCTTGAGTTATGCAGCAACAGTCCATATACCCAAAAAGCATGGTCTTTACTTTTCAGGCTTTCGGAGGATCAGAGCCCATTTTAGAACAACTCTGGTATTATTTTGGAACATTTTTTTGTTTCAAAATGAATTGTCAGTTTTACATATGTATGTACGATACATGTTCCTTTTAACACATTGATGTATTTTATATGTGTATCACTTTCTTTGCTGATATAAAGGGGCAGGTTATTTTTCTGGATTTTGGGGGCACAGGTGGTCATAGGACTTTCCCACAATGCTGCAGTGCATACACTGTCCCTGGTCTCTTGATCCCGTCCTTTCTTCTCCAGATAGTCTTCCGCCCTCTCTGGGTTTTTAGGTATGTTATTTTAATTCATCGAACATTTGTCTTTTTGTCTTATCCTGAAAAACGCTGCTTTTGCAACAGTAACATTTTTTAGACTATCTTATTGGCCTTTAAAAAATGTAGAAATGCCTTGAGGTGTGGAAGAGAAATGCCAGTAACTGGAACTAGCTTTGCAAATGGCCTCCAAAAAGCTTTTCCTTCCTGTGGCATCCTTGCCCTCTTTTGGTAACTTACAGTCTCAAACGGGTGATACTTTTGTTGTATGTAAATATGAGTAACCTAAAAATACTGGCCAAAGCATTTTCTATTTATATTATTTATCTTTGGGTAATTTGAGTCCATACCCATGTGGGTCCTGGTCTGTAGGTCAGGGTGAATAAATTCATCCAAGATTCTTAGATAATTTTTTTTGTTTAAAGATTAATTAGAGTATAATATGGAAGTAGTAAAACTGGTAATTGCCTTGTTAAGGGTTCATTGCAAGTACGTGTATATTGGTTTCTTTTAGCTTTGACAACTGTGATTACGAGTTACTTGTCTTTATAGTTATCTTACTACTGGTAATGTGTTGTAAATCATTCATAATGATCTGTCAGTGTGGAGATTAAAAATAGGAATTGAAAAACACTGGGGAATTTACGAATATGTTCAAAGTTCTCAGTCATAGTTTTCTGAATAGTGATGAAATTATTTAAAATATTTAAAAAGCAAAAATATAATTCTATAATCAAAGTCAGCCAACCATGAAAAGACAAAAGGTAATGAATCAGGGGCAATGCTGACTTGTTGGCGCCCCCCAGTGGGAAACTTTAGATTGCTAGAGTCATCCTGCATGCAATGGAAACCTTGGGAAATGAAGGTACAGAAATGCAAGTTGGAAAGAGGGGAAAAAGGATTTGCTCAGAATGGAGAAAGAAGATAAAATTTTGAGACATGGAGAAGGAAAAGAATTGACTTCATCTATTTCACAACTTTCAAAGGTCATGGAGGAGCTGTGGAAAGACAGTTATAAAAATTTATTCATTATAGTGCCAGCACTGAGCTAAGTACTTGTGAAAGTTAAATGATAGAATGGACCAACTCTATGAGATATGTTTTATTATTTTCCCTGTGTATAAAATTGGAATGCAGAGATTTCACAGTTTAAATAACTGGCCTAGAGTGGATCAGCCGCTAGGAAATGGGCTGGTTGACTCCAGCATATAATTTTTTAACTGTTTCATCCTGCTTCTGTTATACTCTTTAGTATTAATAGTAATCATATTGTAATATTTTTAGCTAATAAGAATGATGTTTACAACATATGGGTTTTTCCTTTATTGAATGTTTAGAAATGAACAAATCACTTCTTGATATAATAGAAGAAAGCATGTAATATGCTTCTAATATTTTGATAACTGATATTAAATATCTCTCCCACTATGTAGAAAGGACCATTTTAATATAAAAATATCATTAATGTATTAGATCTGTCTTTAGTACATTGCGAATATTGCAGTACTTAAAAGCACGCTTGAGACAACATGGTCCAATTTCATGAATAAAGTAAATGCATTCATTGCATGTGGGAAAGTATAATGTGGTATTTTTCTTTTCTAAGTAATGTATTATGGACACATTTCCTTCATTATAAAGTAGTCTCTAGGAAATAGAAGCCGAACTGTTTATTCTAAAGTGTGTATTTCTATTCTTAATAAATTTTTACACAGCAATGATTTAAATGGTTACAGAGAAGCTTCTAGAACATTTTTTTCATGTCAACATTCTTTTACCACAACATTATGCAGGATTTTCCAGTTGACTTTCTGCTATTCCTCAAACTCAAACTGAAATCACAGAAGTGAAGAAAATAGGTCCATTTATTCTTACCAAATAAAATACTTGTTTCTGTCTTTACTTACACATTGTCACAGTTGCCTGAACCCAAAACCACATAGGCTGAAAGTGCAATATAAAATAGTTTGCTTGGAAAAACATATCTCTATGAAATAATTGTCACTAAATACTTTTGACTCAACAAACTGGTAACTTTCAAATGGTATTGAACGATATTACTGCTAATGTAAAATTGGCAAAGTTTGGTCAATTTCAGCATATGTATTGGGAGCCCAGGAAAATATTATCTAGGAGAATTTTATTAACAAATGTAGCTCTGAATGATTTCAGTTCTTCTGGTTAACCTCCCCCTCAATAGTCTTTTTATTACTATGCATGCTTGTGGTATTATGTTAAGTTTTGCCAAGAGTTGCTTATGTAAATCAGTTTTACATTTTAATATTGTAGTGTTTATATATTTTTACTTGGTATTTGCAAAATAAGTATTAATTCTCAGCATAATTGGACATAGGAGATATTATGACTTCTTTTCATATCTATGAAATGTATATTAATTTTTGACCAGTTTGAAAAAGACAATAAGAAAATAAATAATTTTTTCCTAATCTGGAATCTTCCCAAAATAATGTCAATATCTGATATATTGAAATAATGTAAGATTTTTGGCTATGCCTTAGTATTGACTAAGTTCAGTATTAGAATAACTCAGATAAAAGCATGTCAAATCAAATTCGGGGAATGAATTGCGGGGAAATGGACTCCTAAGGGATCCTGGGAGGTGGAAGCCAGGGTGGTGTTTGTGGACACCTGCCCATAACACTGTTTGTCCCCAGGACTTGCTGACACTGGGACTGGCTTCAGAAATAGGAGTAGAGGCAGTATATCTGTAACTAATTCCCACTAACATCACAGATTGTGTAAAGACAGACAGAGTCTTGAATAGCGGTGAAGACTCTAGGTAATGAAAGACTCCGTGCAGTAAGAAATACAGCTTCTCAGGTCTGACAGTATCATGGGCAATTGCATTTCCCCTTTAGGGATTGTGGGGGCCAAGGTCTTTGCACTGATAAAACTCTACCCATTTTCCAGCATAGAAAACTGTATAGCCACCTTGCTTCTGATAAGATTTTACAGACATATTTTTAGTTAAATTCAGAACTTAGAGTGAATTTGTGTGTGGAGTGTGTGTGTGTATCTGTATTTGAATGAGAGGAGGTCACAGGGTGGTTTCACACCAAATCATGGCCCCTTGAAAAGGAGGGCTTTATTTTGAACGATATTTATCTTAATTGGTTGCATTGAGAATATGCATTTTCTGCCTTAGAAGGATATAATTCATTTCACTCTATTTTCTTTATACTCGTAACTCTATAATTTTCGTTTTGCTTTGTGTTTTAGAGTGCTTATTGGGTGCACTGTGCTCATGTTTTATATTGCTACTTTAAAGTATCTATATTGTTTTTCTATTCTCCAGGTAATATATTTATAAAGGCTTATCTCTTCAACTAGGTTGTGAGCCCCTGTTGATAGTCATTGCTCACATAAACTTTTGTTACCTTCAAAGAGTGGAGTGACGTGGCAAACTGAATTGAGCTGAATAGAATCAAACTGAATTCCAATGTATGATTCAAGTTCAGATTTTAAAACTAAAACTATTTACTTGTCTTGTGCTAGAATTGTGATTAGCACATTGATCAGTGAGGATTGTGTTAGGAAACTCAAGATGTGAAAATAAAAATAATGGCAGACTCTTCCATTTAGAATAGAATACACTTTTTCTCATTGTTAGTGGTAGTGCTACCACCTGCCCTGATTTACTGACCAGTAGTATTGCTATTTTTCGAAAGCCCTAATGATGCAGAGGGTTTTCAAAGATATAATGATGGGGCCTAATTTCCTTGTCTTTCAAATTCCCTTTTCTGCCTGAGAGTCAATACGTATGTATAAAAACAAATGTTAATTATTTCAACTGAAGTGTCACCAAGAAAGGAGCTAAGAAAACTGAATAAGAAATGACAATTAGTGCAACAAACCACCGTTTGTTTGGGGTGATAAATGATCATTTTGGGTAAACACATTGAAAAGCTGACAGTAGAAATGCTTTTTCATGAATAAATGTGCTAAATTCATTCTTAACTTGATAGAATTAACATTAATTTTCTCTGAATCTAGCTAAAGACTTGTGCATTTAGGTTGAGCCATGTGAAGGAGTTCTCTCTCTTTCTTTCTTTCTGTCTCTTCACAAACTTTGGTCTACCCATTCTTCATGATTGCACCAGCAGGGGAATTATTAGGAAAAAAGATTGCCATAATTTACACAAATAGTTAGGTTTATGGCTGTTTCAAGACTTAGTTTGGAGGAAATGATTTAGTTTCATTAATTTTTAACTAAGGCTGTCAGACTCTGAGGGCCTTTGGAACTGTTGTACTAAATCTGAACTCCTATCATTTGACAGTTTTTCTTGCATGATTCATTATAAGTCATCTAAGGATGTGTTTAAATGAAATATCCTTCTTATTTTATCATTTGTCTTCGGTTGAAGGAAGAACCAAGATAAATTTCCTCATAGTTTCTTTTTTAAAAAGCCTTTATTTAAAACTTTAAATATCAATAGACGTTCATATAATGCCGTATCTCATGTATTTTCTTTTTTCTAAAAATTGATTATAAGTCACAGTGTTATAATAAGCATAAGTTTGAAAGTATGCATTATTTACAAGTTAAAACTCCAATTATGACTGATTCTTCTTTAATGATAAAGTCCACAATTTTTTTTAAATTAAAAATCTATTTTATTTGTTTTTAGGGAATCCCAGGATTTCCTGGAAACCAAGGATTAACGGGCCAAAAGGTGAGTATTAATAAGAGTTAGAAGGTTTGGGCCTGGACCTGCTCATTAAAAGAGTAAAGTGGTGATGCATTATTATCTTCCATAGAATACATTTTTACAATATTTATGGTCACAGTTAATTGTTCAAATATGATATAATTTTAGAAGCTGTTATTTTAACCTTGCAAATTAGTTTTGTGTTTGTCGTTTTATATAGATAATATTAATTTGGATTTATGCATC